AGACGATATACTATTAGGAAGTCATTTCACCATCATCGTCATTAGAGACAGAAGATATTCATGCATCGTGGAAGACCATGCATTGCGAGTCAATATTCATGCATTGCGGGAGATCATGCATCGCGAGTTAATATTCATGCATAGCGGAAGATCATGCATTGCGAGTCAATATTCATGTATCGCGGAATACCATGCATCACGAATTAAGATCATGCATCGCGAGTCAATGTTCATGCATCGCGAGATAATATCCAAGCATCACGAGAGGATTTCATACCTTGCAAAAATTTATGCATCACAACAAGATTCCATGCCTCATTGAAATTTATGCATCACGAGAATATTGCATGCCTCCTTGAAATTCACGCATTGCGAGAAGATGTCATACCTCGCAAAAATATATGCATCACGAGAAGATTCCATGCCTTGAAATTTATGCATCGGGAGAAGATTTCATGCCTCGCAGAAATTTGCTCATCAGGGGAAGACATTCATGCCCCGTCAGAAGTCATGCATTGCCAAAAAAGAAAATTGTGCATCTCAAGAGAAGTATTTACCTATTCGGCGTCAACTGCATTCTTTTATTTTGATAAAAATAAACATCAAAAAGGGCATCGAAGATGACATCAAGAGAAATACTAGCACACCGTGTCAACTTTCCTGTATGTTGACATCAATTGAAGAATATATGAAGATTATATTGCAACACAAGACATAAGCTTTATTTGTTTTATGTCAAACCAATCGAGTTGACGTCAAATGTCGAGGAGAACAATTAAGTGTCTGCATGGTAAAAGACACTGTCTCCCATCTTAATTGCATTTCTATGCTGACGAGTTTTATCTCAGTTTTTGTCGAAAGCATCCGAAAGGATGAATTTTCCAAAACATACCACGGACGACATCAAAAAGGATGCAGCACAATGTGAAACTTTTGTTAGCAGCGAACTGGGACATAGTCCAAAGAGGAGTGTCAAACTCTTAAGGCGCGAGTAGAGGGGCGACTTCTACCACAATCAAACCACATCCCTATTAGATGGCATGTGGGATTTTTCTTTATTTTGTCAGTTTCGGTTTTGCATCCGAAATTTCGGTCTACCAGGGGCAAGTTTCCTATCTGAGTGACATGCACCAAGAGTTTTGGAAATTATGTCCGTGTAAATTCTTAATTATGGGTGTGAAGTGCACCACATTAATGACTAAAAGGTTACAAGCCTCCTTTTCATACTCGATTTAATTGGTCAAACGTCCAAAGCCAAAATCATCAAGCATAATAGATTTCTTTTCCACCGATGAAGTCGAACTACAAACAACCTAATTCCTAAAGTTTAAGGATATGTAGGCGGGCTCAGTGTTGAAAACTCGGTTGTATTCCAACATTCACTCTTGAATCCCATTCCCAAGCATTTCGATCCCTTTTAATCCGGTATCGAGATGACTTTTGAATTCCTTCAAAATCGTGCGTTAAATCAAGAATATCGAACTACAAGTGGATAGAATTCTCATATAGCCTGAGATATGTAGTAAACATGTGTCTAGGGCTCATCCATGATTCCTAAAGTCAGTATCAATTCCCGTTTCTAACATAAATATGTGCTCGGTCAAAATTGCTTTGGTCAATTTCATTTTCATTGAATTTCTTGCATCAATCCAAGTAAAATGAGGGACAGTTGTTGACATCCGATTTTGACCTCCCCGATAAATTAGCTAACGAGCTTCCTAATTCCAACGATCTAAAATAATTAGATCTTATAAAGTTTTCAAATGTTTTTGCATTTTGTTAAACTAATTTCATAATATATTGTTATATATAATTATGCACCTAATTAGCTTTTTTAATACTAGAAAATTATCTCAAAAGAGTTTAGTTCCCGGCATGTATTGGGTATAATTAGTTTAGCAATTATTATCGTTTACATTATGAATTATATTTTATAAATACCTATTAATTTTATTTTTATATTTATGATGATTAATTTATTTCGTTAAATTTATAAAGCTCGTCTGATTAATTTATGGTAATACATTCTTTATCTAATTACCCAAACTCTTTATTTTATTTGGACCAACAGATTTTGGTCCTATAAGCATGTTCACTCCAATTTCCATTCATGTAATACAGAAGCCCACTCCTTTAGGCCCATTTTCGTATCATTCAGGAAAAATTCAACACATTTTTTTGGCAGCCAAATTTTGGTGGCCCAGATCTCCGACCCGGTCCGCTTCAATTTGGCAAAATCAGCTCAGTAATTCTTTCCCTATCAAACCGATTCCCTTCCTTGTCATGACCCGACCCACTTTTGTTTATCAAAAGATCCAAAGCACTAAGCACTAGTGAACACACTTGAAAGGAAAAATAATGGCAGCCCTGCACTCGCCCCTCCCTTCACCACGCGAAAGAAAATTGACGGAATCAACATGTACAGAAGATACGACGTAAAGCAAACCGCGTGCTCGACAGTTTTTCTTGTCGTCTTGTTCTTCTGTCACTCTCAGCCGTACTCACGCGCAGCTTTGCTGCAAGGAAGCCTGCAATGGTTGGCGTTGTAGCTACGAGATGAGGACACGAAGCACACAAAGAGAAAGGATAAATATCAGCCCTCCACCTCCCCTCATACTCGTTTGAAATCGCTGTGAATCAAGGGCATATTCGTTTTTGGATAAGATTTAGGGTTTTTGAAATTCAGAATGGGCCGGTGACGAGTCCGAAATTCTATCCATCCTCCCCCAAGTTGGAAAGTCCTAATCTCTTCCTATATAATCTTTTGATTCACTGCGAAGGGGGGGGGGAGAATTTTTATTTTTTTTCTAGGAACTTCTAGGAGAAAAAGAGGAAAACAAATATAGATTTTTGAGAGGTTTTTCTTTTTTTAAAAAAAAAGAAGAAGAAGAAAGTAGGGAATAGATTTTTAAACAGAAAGTTTTTTTTAGAATTATTTAGTTCGGTTGGGTTATCATACTTTTGGTCCAGTCTTTCAAGATTCTCGGAGTCCTCTTTGGCGTGATAGTTGTTGTTCTTCTCTTGCTCGCCTCGTCCTAGGTCGCTGTCCGGAAAAAGGTAACTTTTCCACCATAGTAACTTCTTCATTTTTTTTTATTTCAAATGGATGTTTGAAAAATTATGAAACTTCTGTTTTGGTCTGGATGATGTTGTTCGGGATTTGAATGTT